CTCACCCCATGGAAAGGGAGATGGCCGAACCCAGGACCCCCAGGCGCTCGCTGCTCCTCGTTCCAACACAAACTGAACCCCAGGCACTGAACCCCCAACTCAGGGCTGTGCCCATGAGATGGAGCCGACCCAGAGCGAGTTGGTTAAAAGGCCTAAGTGAATCCTCTCAAAACGGAGGGACGATGCAGTAATTCTCTGTCATCGCTGTCACAGCTGTTGCACCACTGAAGGGCTCCCCAGAGGAGACTCCTCAAGCTGTGGCCCATATGGGACGACCCAGAGATGCTTCCCTCTTGCCACCTCCAGCAACCCAACCTGGGGCATCTCAAGAGCTCCAAGACCATGGAGCACCTCGGGGCTGTTTTGAGGGGGAAAGCTCTCACCAAGGGCCACCCCATCCAAGCACGAAAGCCACGTGTGGAGGGTTAGAGATGCTCCCACAACACCTTCACCCTCTGCCCACCACGGAACTGGGAATTCAACATGTGGATTCAGGTATGCAAAGGCATCTCGAAGCATTCCAGGGAAACCCCAGGCGGGATGGAGGCAGATGGATTTGAGATCAGTGTGGCAGAACTGGAGAAGAAACATGGGGCCAAGACACGGACTTGAAGGCAGAATCTGGCTGCAGCCTTCCTCCCCGACGAGCAGAGGGCAGCGCCACGGAGGCGCCATTCACAGGAATAAGAGATCCGTGGGACACTAATAACCGGCTGCAAATCCTGCAGCAGGGATTCAGGTCCACTAATGGAAGAGCCATCTCTACTCTGAAGTGATCACAGGTTTGTACAAGCACGGAATGGGAAACCCCTGAAGGCAACAACCAAGTGGGACAACATGGCCATGGGGAGAGAGTAACATGCAGTACTAGGAAAATCCAAGCTACAGCCCTTGAAACAAGGTGCCACTTCATCATCTCACCCCTCACAGATGGGTACAAGTGGGAGAAGCAATTCGTAATGCCCGAAATGCACCAAGGACTTGTCCATGAGGGTGCCTGAAAGGAAGGTGTTGATCACACGAGTCCTCTTCCATCCGTGGCTCACAGCAAACACGGCCTGGTTGTGCCCACCAGCTGGTAGGGCAGAACCTGCCGCCACAGGAGCCTTCCCTTCGCTCGGAGCTGGCCTTGCACCTTCCTGGGAAAAGAAACAGCCCTCCAAGAACCCCCAGCGGAGGGTTTTGGGGAGCATCCCTTGCTGCAATCTTCAAATTGCACATTTTGAGGCAACAGCTTCTGGTTAATTTAACAGTCTTTTGTTCTCATCTGCTGGGACTCTGAATAACGGTGAATCCTGCAGATAAAATCCCCAAGCTGTTTTTCTTTTTTTTTTTTTTTTGTCCCCACAGTTCCCCAGTCTTCCAGCCCCGAAGGCCAAGCCGTGAGCACCAGATCCCTACCCGGAGGAAGGTGGGAATCAGCTTTCACTGCAAACCCCCCTTTGCCAGGCAGGTCCTGTCAATATGGCCCTGTAACTCACCCCGGCACGCGGGGACATTGCAGCGCGGCACCTACGGCTGAGTATCCTCCAAGATTCCTCTGCCGTGGCTCAGTAGGCGCAGAACTAAGTGAAAATGAGATTGTTTTCAGGATCATTAAAGAGCTCCTAATAGTTCATGAAACCTCCATAGCGGAGACTTACTGAGGCACTCGAGAGAATTATCCATGCCCAGACCTCCCCGGCTTTCGGCAACAGCTAAAATCTCTCCTAAAGCGGCACCGTCGAGACGCGCGACGCCTCACGGCTTCCGTCCCCCTCAGAATATTTCTTAGAAACTGCGAGTGGAGCCTGTGCACGAGGAGCTGCGAGCAGCAGACCTGAGTCAGCTCCACTTGCCAAACTGCCTCAATCCATTAACGCGCCAACTGCACCTGGTGACAGCAGAGCCTCTTTGGAGTTCTGCAGGAATAACTTACTTGGGCACTTTTTTTTTTTTCCCTCTCCTTTGTGTCAGGACCATAAAGCCCTGGGTTCACTGCAGAGCTGCTCAAAAAAAAGGACCTCTGTCAAGTTGGATTTTCCTGCAGAAGCGCTGAGAAATGGGTTCTTGGTTAGGGTAGGCAGCGGGACAGCTACATTTATCAAAAAACCAGGAATCTGACCCAGAATCAGCAGTCAATCTCCAAGCAGCCTTCAGGATTTGGGATGGTTGAGGATGCTCCTTTTGTTGCTAGGAAGGATGTTCCTTCCTGGACTGCTGTGGAGCTGCTGAGTTCTGTAACAAGGGGCATGTTCTGCCCTGGCCTCAGTATAACTTTTGTGCTTTCAAAAAGGCACAAATAAACAAAAAAAGAACCTAAACGAACACCTGAAAGAACAAGCAAAGCAAGAGCTGTGAGGGAATTGCCTCGGTCCAGGCACACTTCCCACGAACGGCTGACGCTGCCAGAGAACTCCCAGTATTCCCAAGGGAGTTCCTCAGGGATCACCCGGCTCCTGTTTTATGGTCTCTCAGGATCTGGGGTCTGATGTCAGGGGCAAACACAACCCATGGGTGTTGGTGGAGACACCAGGCTTCTGCTAAAACATTCCAGGGTTTCATGATGCTCCTTATGCTCCTCGCTTTGACCTCCACAAAGTCCAAGGCGACTCTGCTAAGCTCCCAACCAAATGTCCTACAGGGAAGCCCACAGCCACTCACCAGCTGGATCTGGGAAGGATTTCAAAGCAATTTTGCCTCACTTGGCCAGCACCCAAAGTGCCCCCAGCCTGCCCTGGATCTAACTTTTCCCCAGGTTTCCTGGTTCTTAGAGGTGGTAGGGTCTGTGTATACAAGGAACGCTTGAAAATACAGCTTCAAATACCCAGGGATGGTGGGAATGCCGGATCCGCGCGGCGTCCTCTCCGGTCCTGCCTCTGTGGTGTCCAGGATCAGGTGGCCAAGTCCTCAGCTTCCAGCTGCGACAGCCGTGCAAGGAAGGAGCGAACCAAGTCCCTTCTACCTGTGGCTCTCAAAACAAACCTATTTGATTTAACAGCACGTTCCAGCTCCCGGCGAAGGTCAAACACAACCCAAGGAAACAGGAGAGCAAACTGTCTTGTCTATGCTTGGAAACTATCTCGTCACATGCTTTGGAAACCAACCTAAAAACACACATTTGCAAAATGATGCACGAGCTACGAACACACATAATATCCGTCTATGACCTCTGATGAGTTTGGCTTGGTATTTACAGTTTTCGCAGCGCTGTTTTATCTTCAGGGAAAACATGAGGCCGTTTCACATGAATCACTAACCACCGACTGCGAAAAATAGTAACAGTGGGAAAAAGCCAAAGGATTGGAGATAACCGAAGCATCCTTATCACACCAAGGGAATGGAAAAAGCCAGCGCTCGTAGCAGGCACTGAGAAAGCCCGAGCACTTCAGAGTAATCAGAACCAAAGTTGTTAGATTAAGAAGCCCATGAACAGGCCCTGGATCAATAATTAAAGAGTCAGTAAGATTTTTTTTTAACATTAGATAATTGGCAATTCATTTCCTCACAGATAGTGGGAGTTAAAACTCTCTGAAATTTAGAATGAAATTTAGAACTAGGGGCTTTTGAAAATATTAGCCAGTCTCTTACAAATCTAATGTCCTTTTTTTTTTTCCTCTCCAAATTATGATGCTAATTTTCAAATTAGCACAGCGAGGAAACACAGATGTGCCCACGTTTACTCCACACCACAGATTCCTGGTGAGAAATACTGAGAACTACCAATGTGCTGGCAGCCCTCAGACAACATTAATCCAGACAATACTAATGGAAAGCGGGGATAAGCTGGGTTCTTTTTAAATAAAGTTCTTTGAAAATACTTGTATTTCAATAATTCTGCTCCAAAACCACTGAGTCTTGGAAACTCGTTTCCATATTTTAAAGGATTTTGTGCTCGTAAGCACGTTACAGCCCTGGAGCCTGACGTATTCTGCCTGCACAGCAGTTGTGCCACCAGGCCCACGTGTTCCAAGGATCTCTGAAGGGATGAAATCCCGGGATGAGA